CAAAAAAAAAAAAACCCAACAACTTTTTTATGCCTGTGTTGCAGTTTAAGTTTTACCTTAACTCTGTTGAAACCCCTATAACCAGGACAGGCATGAAAACACAGTGGTCTGCCACTGCTCACCTGCTCTAGCATTTTTAACTTGCTCTGAGAGAAACCACATTATTACATGAAGTCAAACAAAATATGCCAGAAATAATATGAGACATTAATATTCTTGCATGAGAAGACATCATATAAAACTATTTATTCATAAATATTTTCCAAAATGAAAATAGGTTACGAAAAATATTTTAAACCAGCTTTCCATACCATTAATTTATTTGGTATAGATATGTGTATCGAGGATGGAGGGGTATAAGTGATATGGGGGAAGAGAGAAAAAAAAATAAAACACTTTAATTCGTGATGCACTTTGTTATCAAAACAAAAAGATCCAGTATCTGCCAAAAAGGACAAAAATGATATAAATTTTTTTTCCCCAAAAGGGTGGGTAGGGTGAGGACAAATGGCAGCCAGTAGAGAGACCAGATCTTCCCACCTGCAGAAATAATCACAAGTGGAAGAATAACATTTTCTTCTTCTTACAAAGACTTATGCATTTTGTTCATTTTTCTTTTTAAACTAATGACATTAAAAATTGACGGTTGTCACTCACTGTCCTTTTAGCCTACTGGAGAGTAAAGAGGATGCTATGGGATGCTGGCTGTAACATGTTTTTATCCTCTGTCAACTCCACACAATCTTACTCCACTTTAATGGATTTTTTTTTTAACTGCATGCATTTAAGCGTTTGTCCATATTTTCTCTCCTCCCAGCTCTTCATGGGAATGAGACTGAAGAGATATCTTCGGCCCCTACCCTCTGCATTCCCCATTTTGCTGTCTGCCTCTGTGAAACCGGAAGGCGAGGTTTGGTGATGTAGAAAAGGTCACTGTAAATCACGGTCTTCCAGATAACGGTACTCAAAGGTGAAACCTTCCTTCTTCCGCTGGCCCCATTTTTCATAGTCAAAGTAGATGTATGTTCCCTGCAGAGAGAAAGGTGGATTATATCACTGTTACTTGTAAGGGAGATTGAAGGTTAACAAATGTGACCCCCACTCTGGAAAGTGGGGGTGCACCTTAATGCAGAGGCTGGATTGTCTGCGGATTTGGCTGACTGAGTGTCATACCTTGCGGGTGGGATGGAAGTCAAGCTCGGGAGAGTCTTGACGAAGAGGTTGAGAGAGTGAACAAAGGAAAGGGATGTTTCTCAACACTCAAAAGGAGATGACTTTTAGTCTGTTCCTTAGGCTTCTTCTGCTGTGGTGGCTCTTTCCACTAGTAGAATCTTTGAGGATATTATCAAGGGGCGGATGAAATTCTACCAGTATATGGTCAGCTTAACCACTTGAGTACCAGCTTGTATATACCCCCCTTCATTACAAGGCTATTTTTCATCTTTTCTTTCAGTGCTGCAGTAACGGATTTCAATTACTTGGTATGCAAGTAATTTCTTCTTTAAAATTAACGAACATGCTGGCATTGGAACTTGGTAATGGTGCACTAGATTCAGTGTATACAAATCATACACAGATGTCAGACGGTGAAGGGAGGGATTACATACAGTGGGAGGATGGAGATAAAGAGGTTAATGAACATATCTGCAGAATAAGAGGTGAAGGATTAATATACAGGTCACGGAGAGTGGAGATGAGTAGGGTAGGAGGAGGTTGAAAGGGTTAAACTTTATTTGCTGCTGCTGTGATCTGTATAGAGCTCAAGAACAACTTATGAATTACTGTTTTATTCATTAGCTCCTGAACCCTCTCCTTCCTCTCTGATGTAAAATACATGCTGTTTACATGATGTGATCACAGGCATTGATCACTCTATGATCAATCCAGCGATCTGAATGTACAGAGCCACTTGGTTCACTGGCATTAACAGGCAGAACAGTTGCCCAAGTACTGTTTCTGAAATTAAGTTTATAAATGTCAGTCCAGAAATGGATATCCAACTCTCTGCCTTTTTACATACAGTGGTAGGGAGGTGGTTAGGGACACCTTCTCAGATGAGGACATAAGGGGGATTTCCAAACTTTGTCATAGGGAGAAGAATCAAAATGTCAATGAGTCAGAATGGATTAACCCTTTCGCTGCCATGCCCTCCAGAATGCTTTTAACCTTAAGCTGGCCACACCATTTTGCAATTTTTTACCCTATTGTTTATATTTTCAAATGTAGCTTTTAGAGTTTGTAAAAGACCCCCCAAACCATATATTTTCTGAAAGCACAGTAGAGTAAAAACATGGTACTATTAATTTTGTAGGTCCTGCGATAATTGCGCAAATGTTTGTCAAATCATTAAACTGATAAAAAAATACAAAATTAAATTGATAAAAACACATTACAAATCAGAATCAATGCACACAAAATACTTTTCTGACCAAATCTAAAAGATAGTTAATAAATAACAAATAGTTGTAATTTTAAATTTCGCCTTTTTGTGAAACAATAAAAAATAAAATAATGCAAAACTGTAAATAAGCAAATTATGCTAATGGTGTGTGCGCTGTGTTGGTGTGTGTTGTGATAAAATGACACAGGCGTACATTTAATCGCAACAGTGTATGACAATGCAGGGCAATGCATCACAATGCTTTGCCATGCGCTGTAACAGTTAAATTTGTTATTAAAAAAAAAAAAATCAAGCACTGCAATGCATTCTAATAATTCTTTGGGGAAATATCCCCCTGAAATTTCCCTTTTGAAATAGAAAAAGAAATTGAGGACAGAGTCCTCAATCTCTTTTTCTGCAGCCTCGGTTCTGAATCAATGGAAAGAACTCAGTACAGAGGCTTCCCATTCATTCACAATCCTCTGTACTGAGTACTTCTCCCTATTAAGAAACTCATGAATGAACAGGAAGTGCTGTAAATTTTCTCCTGGGAACCCCACTGCCTCAGCACATACAGAGCAGCGGGGATCCAAGGAGAAGCATGGAGCGGCTCCAGGTGGGGAGGAGAAGCTGTTGGATGCTGACAGTTGGGGTGCCCCCCCAAATTTGTGTTAATAGCTGTCATCAGTGGCTTGTCAGTCGATGACAGCTATTATTTTACAGGGGACCATCAGGAGAACCCTTCTGGTATGAGGTTATGGTCGCTAGCAAAAGGGGCAGAAGCCACCGACATACGGCATACTAAACTGACCAGCTGCAAGTGATTGTGTTCCACTGTATGCCATAGGTCAGTGGCAGTAAAAGTGTTAAAGCTGGCTGCTGATGACAGACAAAATCAGGTCCCCCCACTCCACTCGGTGAAACTCTTATCTGTCGCCTGCTGCTGGATCCTTGCCCCTGGGTGCGGGAATCTGCTTCCCTCTCTGTCCCCTCCAATGCCTGCTGCTTTCACCCTCCTGTATCAGCAGAGACAGTGGGGATCAGAGGGAACGAAGATCAAGGCATACTGTTGGCGCCCAGCAGGGAGGGTCTTTAACCTTCTGCTTCCAAGTCATACTGCACTTTTAACCTCAGCTGGCCACCCCATTTCTGCAATTTTCACTTTTTTTTGCAAAATGTTTTTAAAAGATTCCCCTCCTACGATTTGTAAAAGAAAAGTTAAAATAAAAAGATGGTGTAACTAATTTTGTAGGTCCCGCGACAGTTGCGCAAATGTTAATCAAATCAATATTTTCTATAGAAATATACTGAAATCATTATAGGCACACACAAAACCAAAATAACGTATACGATTCATAGTACATGTAACAGCTAAAACTGTACTGAGTTAATACAAATTTGTAAATTTTAAATTGTGCCATTTTGTGAAACAATAAAAATTGAAGGTACTCTTGACACAAGTGATGGGGATTATCATTTGTCCTTTGCTATTAAAAGGTCCTTATTCTTAGCTCGCAGGATGATTGCGTTAAATGGATGTCAGCATACCCTCCTATACGACTGAGAAAAGAAAGGTTGAGATTGCTAACTGTATAGCCTTAGAAAAACATACTTACTGGCTTTACAATACTATGACCAAGCTTGATTCTATTTGGCCACAAATGGATAGCTACCTTTTGTCCATTATTGACATTACATACTTGATCTTATGCTCTTCAATATCTGCAGGAGGGTTTAAGGTCTTGAGGAGTATGCATTAAATACTGAAAAATGCAAAAATTTAATAAAAATCATGATGTATCTGATGTAAAAAAATTTGAGTTCTCAAAACTGTAAATAAGCAACTTGTGCTAAAAATCTGGAGCTTAGCCTCACACCTGCGTGTTGTGGTAACGCCCAATCTGCAGTGTCCATGCGCTGGGTTGTAATATAAATAGGATTTTTTTAAATACTCTCCAACAAATCCTTTTCTCTACATTCATTGAAGAACATAGTGGAGATTTTGAATCTCGAACCGGTTACAGTGCGACTTTCAGGAGGTCACTAGAACAAAAGAAAAAAAACACAGTCTAGGTGTGGCCTCCAATAGTGGCCAAACCCCTAAATACTATTAAGAAATAGAATTTTTATACTCAGAGTAAAATCCTTTTCTCTGCATTCATTTAAGTGCACATGGAAGATCGTAGATCTGCTGCCACTGGGTTAGTGGGCTCCCTACCTCACTTATATACTGCTTAAATATGCTCCAACATGGAGAATCTTAAAATTAGTTAGGACCACACTACATAGGGGAGCCTTGGGGAGGCAGTGTGGCTTCCACATATTTTGCAAAAGTTGTGCCTCTGGTTTTAATGCATACTGTTAGACAGGGCAATTTGTTTTTTTGCAGGCTAGTTGGCAAGTGTGCTGGAAAACCTTTTCTCCTGCAGGTGGCGCTATAGCCCAGTGGATCCAGATCCACTGTGCACTTTTATGAATGCAGAGCAAAGGATTTTACTGCGAGTATAAAAATAACATTTTTTAATACTCCTCATAAGATCCTTTTCTCTGCATTCATTGAAGGACACAGCACCCACCCTGGTTACGTCTATGACCAGTTGTTGTTCTGTACTTAGTCGGTAAGTGTGCTGGGAAACTTCTGTGTTTTGTATTTGCATCTTGCTGCAAAGGCTAGTTATCATTGTGCGGTTGCCATGTATTTTTAACCTGCAGGAGTAGGATGCTTGGCACAATAAAAATAGCATAAGGGCAGTCTCTGGTGGAGGTAAACTACCCACCTGTTGACCAAGCTTCAGTTAGAAACAAGCAGTAAGGAGAAGACACTCCCACACACAGAGGGCAAGTAATGTGTGCTTCAATGAACACAGAGAAAAGGATTTTACAGTGAGTACAAAAAGCCAAGGACACCCCAACTATCCTTCTTGAATGGGCCATCAAGCCTGAATAAAATATTCTTAATTCATATAGAAATAGTAGCGGAAGAGGCAGCCTGACCCTTCCAAGAACCATCCGTAACAAACAAAGCATTCATCTTACAAAAAGATGCCGTAGCATACAAGTAAATCCAAAGTGCCAGAACAACATCTGTGCAATGAAGGGCCTTTCTTAGGGAGAAAAGACGGCCTGAGCTGGAGCACAACCTTGTCTCTATGCAAAACTGGAAATGGGTACTTGTACAACAAGGCTGCCAATTCTGAAGCCCGATGGGCTGAAGTGACCGCCACCAAAAAAGACCACCTTCAGAACCAAAGTCAACAAGAGTAGCCTGCAAAACCGAAAGCACCAAAGTCCAAGGGAGCCAAAGGGGACCGAACAGGAGGTACAATGCAAGTACAAAAGTAAGAACCAAGGAATTTAACAGTAAGGGCCACTCAAAAAGAATGGCCAAGGCCGAAAACCTTGTCAGGTAATAGTACTTAAAGCTAGCCCTTTAAGCTGAATAGTACTCAAAGCTAGCCCTTGATCTACTCCACACTGAAGGAATGCCAAGACCCTAGGCATTGAAAGAACATGCAGAGAAACATGTAGGGACTCGCACCAAACAAAGTACGCTTTCCACAGGCGATGATATATCCTCTGCGAAGTAGCCTAACGAGCCTTAAGCATAGTGGAAATAACAGCATCAGACAACCCCCTGCTGCTTAACAGC